CCATCAGTCACCGGCGCTGTCCTCGCTGTCCGAATACGCCCCCAACAAGCCGAGAGAGGACGTGGTGCCCGTTGCTGTGGGAAACGAGCCTGGAAAACGGAGCGAGAGAGCAGGCAGCATCAGGTAGGGCGGTCCCCATCGCCAGCAAACCCCGCCGGCTCGGCACAACCAGCCGCGCGGAGACGACGCAGCCAGAGCCCGAGCGGTGCCTTGTCCCCCCCGGAATCTTGACGAGGACAGGCGAGGTTAAATTGGGTGGACAAGGAGACCCCGCATCGCCTCGGCCGGAGCCTCCTGCTTCCACCTCGCAGAGGCAGAGGTCGGCCCAAGGTCTGCAAAATGCCCCTCTCGCTCCGCAGCCCCCCGAGAGGCTCCAGCTGCTGGGAAGGGAGCGAGGAGCCGGCCCTCGGCTTTGAGCATGAGCCGCAAGCGCGCGGCAGCACCGCGGGCAGAGAGCCCCGAGACCTCGAGACGGGCGGCTCCTCCGGCGGAACAGCCAGGAGCAGGGGGCTGGGGAAGGCATCAAGAGCGGGGCAGCTACACGGGCTGGTCCTCGCCAGGGATCCCCGGAGGGACTCACTAAGCCCAAGGCTCAGGACCAGTCAGCCCAGAAACAACCAATTCATCGGCTCCTTCTCCAAACCCTCTGCCTTCCCGGGGCAGTGAGCGACGAGGCGCTGGAAAGCCTTTCTGCTTGTTTTCACCACTTCTATAAAGCTTCCAAATTCCGACAGTTTGGCAGGTTTTATAATCGGGCCCCAAACCAAAGCAATTTTCTTGCTTTGCCATTCATATCTCGCTGTTGTGACGGTTCCCAGCATCCTATCTGCATGCTGAGAGGCTGTTTTGAAGCTTCTGGCCCTGACAGTCTGTCTCCAAGGCCTTGGTTTATCGCCGAGGGCCAGGAAGGATCCTCTCCTCCACCAGGACATCTGCTGGAAACAGGGACAACCTCCTGTTCTTACACCGTCAGGGCCCCATCTGTCCCACGCCAAGGGCTTGACCCGAGAGCACTCCGGCTCTGAAGACAGCGCCAAACACCACTTGGGTGCTGCCAGAGCCCTCTCTGACGGCCCAGCTCAGGCCACCCCATCCCCACGTGAGCTGTTACCGGTGTCGGCCGCGGTGCCTTGGTTCTCTGTCCCATTAGCCAGGGCAGGACCCGGCTTCTGCTTCCTCACGGTGACCAGCCCGGCAAGCTGGGCCTTGGTGTTCAATTTGCCCACGCTCCGCTCCCAGCTCTCAGTCTTCAGCTTCTTACTCTGGGGCTGAGGGTCCTGCAGAGCAGAGCGGGGGTGTTAGGGTGCTCTGGCCTTGGAGGGGAGGAAAAGGGATGCGGGAGGGGGAGGAGAAGTGTTAAAAACAGCAGCACAAAGCACAAGAGACACGAGGATAGCAGCCACGGGGGTTACTCTCCCCCGGCAGCGACTGGCACAAGCTAGACAAACAACAGGGATATGGATGTGAACGGCTGCAAAACAGCCCTTGGAGACAGACATCCCGCTGCCAGGGATGGTTAAACCCAGCCCTGTGTGGCCACACGCTGGCCCTGGGACGATGAGGAGTTGCATTCACGCCACAGGGTTGCACAAGCCCTGCCAGCCAGGACCGCGTGCCTGCAGGTGGTCCAGCCACTGAATCAAACTCCCCCGGGCACGAGGATTAGTGCCGGGCCAGGGAACATCGCTCAGATTAACCCCAGGCCGGCTTAGAGACACGGCAGCTTTGATTCATCCAACCGGACAGAGGTCCCTGCAGACACGGATCGACATCGGAGAGCAGCAGTGGAGGGGCCTGTCCGCGGGGATAATCCCTCCCTTGCACTGAAAGCGCTTTTGTTCTGTGTGGCTCCAACGGGGACAAAAAGAACCAAAGCAGAGGCTGTCCCAGGCAGCGCTTTCACCGCTGTGTTTTTCAGAGCGCTGAAACGGTGCCTGAAGTATGACCAAGCTCACGCTTTTCGAGCTGGAAGGGAACGCCCGTCCTGAGCGAGGACGGGGGCAGCTCCCTCCCAGCCTTTGTCAGCAGACGTGGTCTAAAATCACCAGCTGATCCCTGTCTCCTTTCAGCCCAGTGCGCAGGGACACAGCCTTTCTGAGCTGCTCATGCGTGGCAGGCATTCGGGCTCCGGCGTCGCAGGGAGAGAAGAGACAGCACGGAGCCCAGCACAG